ATCTGGTGAAAATTTCATGTCATTAGCACCTCTAATAATATATTTACTGAGAAAAATGTGATGTGTTCAATACTTATTTTACCCGCTGTATAAAGCTGAAATATTTTTGGTACGAGGTTTGTAAACAGTTGAAAGAAATACTAGGATATGAGCYACCCAAAACAGGTGCAGTTTTATATTTGAGTTATTTATCAGAAAGTAACAGTCCAAGTAAAAACTGATACTTGGTCAAAATTTTATCTGCAGAAACCAWGAAARMTATCACATGGAAATGGGGTAAGGTGGACCCTCCCACTTTAAACAATTGGATCGACATGGTGGAAGAAATTCMCAACATGTTGAGATTTACACATTCYAAGACTACAACAATCATAAGCTGAAAAACTGTGGAAAAAATAGATATTGTTTAGAAGCCTTGACAGTAACTAAACAAGATGGTAATAAGATACTGTAAGTTGTCACCTGATATTTTGTTATGTTTTTTTTTCTTTGATGTGTACTTTTTACTCTGAATTATGTAACAAAGAAAAATAAAAATTATGTTTCAAAAAAGTTTGGCTGTGATACACACATCTGGATAATACAGATGTTTTAATATTATATATTATATTATATATAAACCCAATTTAAATTTACATCGATTTTAATTTTTCTCTCTCTCACTCTATTAACTGTTGTTTTCATTCAAAATCTGCTGAGTCATCAGACAAAAGTCTTCTGATAAAACTACAGAAATGTTTTGTTGCTGTCACGCTCTAACCCTAACCTGTACCATATTTCATTTGCTGTTGATTTATTTTAAAATAATCTAACCTGGGTTAAAACATGAAGTGTTTGTTACAACATCCTACAGTGTTAGCATAAAATAATCTACGTTTTTATTTGGTTACTTCAGGCTTTAGTTCATTTAGTGTTTAAATATGGTTTGCTAGCTTTAACAATTAGCTTCTGTTTTGTTTATGTTAGATTTTAGCTTTTGTAATGTTAGCTTTACAGCTTAGCAACTGTTAGTTTTTACCTACTGTTACCTACTTTGCACTATTATTATTTTCTTGCTAATTTTAGGTTTTAAGTATGTTTTTTTATTTAGCTTTTAGCTATGGTTTTGATCATTTTTATGTTTAGCTGCTGTTCACCAAACTGCAGCTTTCAGCTACTGTTTTGCTGCTTTTAGCCTCAGTTTTGCTGGCGTTAATTAAAAGCATTTAATTTACAGTTAATTCTTCAACAAATGTTCAGTGAGGTCTCTCTGGTTGATGTCTGAACTGTTCTGGACCGACTCACTCTGCGGATGTCCAAAACTGCAGCTTCGGCTCTTTTCCTGCTGCGACAGGCCAGGATCACTCTGGCTCCCCTCTTGGCCAGCTCCAGAGCCGTGGACTTGCCGATGCCAGTGTTGCTCCCTGGGAAAGAAAAACAGTCACACAGTCAAGTCGAAGTAGAGGAGATAAAACATAAAGTCAGTCAAAATCGTGGGCGATATGCATTCATTCAAGGAATGCTAGGAATGACGTTTTCATTTTTGAGAAATTAGTGACTGTTTTATTCATGATAAAAATGATGAATGGTTAAAATGATAACCTTGTGTTTGGTCTTTTTCTTTTTTCAATTCAATTAAAAACTTTTATTAATTTCATTTAAAAAATACTATATACAATTATAAAAATAAACCAAAACCAAAAAATATATACAAATCAAAACAAAATGAAAGGTAGCAGAACAAGAATAATTTTTATTTTGTATGCCCTTTCCGAAACAGAATACAATGGGTAAAATAAGTATTGAACACGTCACCATTTTTCTCAGTAAATATATTACTAGAAGTGCTAATGACA